TGAGACTTTGTTTGACGCTGCGCTGGCTGACATTCCTGACAAGTCGACACTACACAGCGCATGCATGCGTAATGACGTTGCATCGGCTCGACTTTTCATGCGCAACATGGACGCGTTTATCGAGCATGTCCTTGGTGTCGCACCCAAGCATATGAAAAATATACCGTTTGAAGGCCTCTTTGGAGATGTCAAGGCATATTTTGGCATGGTCGAAACCCAAGGTGGTGGAACACTACATGCCCACTTTTTGATTTGGTTGGATGATGCCCCTCCGAACAGCGATGCTTTTGAACGAGCTGTCGTAGCGTATGACGACCAATACTACTGAGACCTCGAGGCGTACGCAGACAGTGTCGTTTCGACGACGATGCCATTGCGTGTTGCGAACTCATCATGTGTATTTTGCGGGCATTCATTTGCTGATCTTAAAGAATTACCGATTCCGCCAGAGGCCTATGAAGACCCAAAAAAGCAGCATGAAGGCGTACGCGGTGAGCCGGCCCTCCTTCGGTGCTCTGAATGCAGAAACGTTTTCAGCTCGCAGCACGTCATTCCACGTCTTTTGTTAGAAAATCGACCATCGTCGTGGCCGCCGAAGATGCGCTCGTACTCCTCGGATGAGCTGAAAACTAAAGTGCGATTGGAGGCTCCATGTCGAGGTGGTGTTGCAGCCGCAAAGGTAGCAATTTATCGTCACGGTATGTATCTGCATACAATGAATTCAGACAGCAACAATGACATGTATGGAGAATATTTGCGAGACTTGAACCAGATATCGTGTCGACTCGAGCGCCGTCAAGATGATGCGTTTCGCGATGATAAAGTCGCTCAAGCTATCATGATGCTCCCCCCATCGGTCGACGATGCCCGGTGGCTGCCTCGCATAGTCTCATTCGCGGTCTCGATGCTTGTCTTCATGCTCAATTTACATTGGTGGTCACATGCAGGAAGCTGCTCCAAGAAAAGTCGAATTTCTCGCCCTGGACAATGTCGCTACGGATTTTTTTACGAGCTCGAAGTAAGCAGACGGTTTGCTCGAGTGAGGGAATTGTACTTGCGCGACGATCACCATTTGAGTTCGTCAATGGCTTTAATCGTGAGATGATGCTGACATTTAAGTCAAACCATGACATTCAAGTAATGATCGGTGGTTTAAACGCGTTGCAGCGGATATACTATGCGACCAAGTACGTTACGAAGATGCAGGAACAAATTGATTCGATTACTGCTGTTGCTCTCGCTGCGTTTAAGCGACGTCAAGTTCGGGAAACGCTAGATGGTGTGTCTCGTGATGTTAATCGAGTTGCAGTGGGCCGCAGACGCGTTGCGTCGTTAGTTTATGCGATCACAAATCGACGCGAAATCGCAAGGCCACTCGCTGCTTTATACGTGCTACGTGGGTCATGCGCGTATATGAGCACACCGTGTGCATCGCTTCCTCTACGAAACGTGCTAAACGAGCTCGTCGAAGGCGTGCCGCCCTCGTGTGATCTCGTCCGGCTTCAAAGGCAAAGTTCAGATGTTACCTTTCGTGCAGCGTCGTTTCTTGACGATTTTGTATTCCGGCCGCGGTCACTTGACAATGTCAGTTTGAACGAATACGTGGCAAAACACTTTCGACGCAAGAAAACTCTTTCAACAGCTGAGTCTGTTCTGTTCTTACCGGACCACCCACTTTTTAATTCGCACTGTGTTGGTACGCACATTGATGAAGTGGTTCCGGTCGTGTCTGGCATTCAAATACCCTTTGTGGATTCCGAGTCGTCGTTTGAGCTTGTCGTGAAGCGGAGCTAATGTGCATTAGTTTTGTTTAAACCGTTCCGTGCTGTCAAAGATCTTGTTTCCAACGCGACAGACAATGCTAAATGGATTGAATCATTTTTACAGTGGCAACCCACGCGCTCGAGTTTTACGTGTGAAATCATGGCTAATATGGATGACTATTACCGCGCAACTAAACAGGCAAAAGAATGTAGTGCGGCCAACGATGATGCTGAAGTTCCTACTGATAACAACACGGATAACGATGAACTCGTTGGGACTCGCGAGGACGTCGATGCTTTCTGCCGCTGTTTTAACAACAAAGGTGGTGATGATAATAGAGATAATGATAACGAAAGCCCCGCTGCATTTGCTCTGGAATCAACCTTGCTAATCTTCCCGAACTCAGGATCGACCATCTCAAGTGACGGATATCAACATTTGTTGAATAATGCCGCGCAGCGGACTGTGAATGCGGTCGCAGACGTGCGCAGTTACAGCTTGACATTCGATTTCTCGGTCGATGAACTGCAACGATTTGTTAGTGATACTTCCAATGACGAAACTACGCCCCTCGCTTGAACAGATACTGCAACGAACGACCCACCGGAGTGATTGAGCTCATTGAGAATACACTCAAATCTGTTCCACAGTGGTCGTCACGGAATCAGCAATCGCCACAACCACCATCTCCTCTTCGAGCCAACGCATCGATTGAAGACGTCGCTAGAGCATTTACTCTCAACAAACGTCAATACGCTGCATTCACCTTAATTGCAACGTCACTCCTTCGACATTTTCTCCATCAGGAGCTTGGCAGTGTTCGTGGTAACAGCGACGGCTATCGCACAGACAAATTTGAGGCGCAATTTCGTCATGACCAGCTATTGATGTTCTTAGGAGGTGCTGGCGGCACCGGCAAAAGCCGTGTGATCGACGCAATTGACGCGTTTTGTGCTAGCTGGCAACGTGAGTATTCTGTCGTGAAGACGGCCTTGACGGGCAAGGCAGCTACTCTCATTGGCGGGCGAACTCTCGCAAGTTTCATGATGCGCCTGCAACACGACATCAATGAAAACAACTTCTCGCCGTTGGACCTTATAGTGATTGATGAGGTCTCCATGATGAGTAAAGCCGAATTGCTCCGGTTGGACAGGCTGCTGCGGCGCTACAAGCACATGTCTGCGGTACCGTTTGGCGGTGTCCATGTCGTCCTTGTTGGTGATTTCTTGCAAATGCCACCAGTAAAAGCTGACCCCATTTACCGCGATCCAACCGAGAAGGTCAGAGCGAAAACTACTGATATTGAAGGGTTTGACCTCTGGAGAAGATTTACGACCGTTGTGATCCTCGAGGAATCAGTGCGTTTCCGAAACGATCCGGAGTGGGGCACTGGCTGTAGTCTGGCTCGGCTTGGACAATGGACACCAGAGTTCATTAATTTGATTAACAGTCGCGTGATCACGCGGCACGAAGGGGGGAGCACTAAATTGCCATTGTTACAGAATGATATAGGCTCCAATGCAGTCTTTGTCACTCCAGAAAACGCGACTCGGTTGGCCGTTAACAACGAGTTCGTCACAAAGACTGCGTCAATGCTACCCACCAACATGTTTCCTGTCCGCGTCATCGCCAACTTTAAGGGCTCACTCAATGGACTTAGCCAAAGTGATCTGCGCTATGCCATGAGCCTTTCCGATAATCGATTCGGTAGGATGGATCCCTACCTCGACTTAATAGACAGCATGCTGATTCAGATCACGCAGAACACCGCAACTTCGAAAGGCGTCGCGAACGGCACGCTTGGCACTTTAGCTTTTGTGCACTTCCCCCTTAGCACTAGCTTTCAGCTCGTGCGCGATGGTGCGTCCAATACAATCGTTCAGTTACCCAGTAAATCGCCGGAGTACGCTATGGTTCGCATACCACGACCGCAAGCGATTGCCATTCGTGATGGAGTTGACCCAGAGCTGTTCCCAGTATTTTTCAAGACCGAAGCCTACATGAAGTCCACCATCGCACTCTCAAAGACACCTGACGGACAACCGCGCTCGGTCACCGTCAAGCCCCAGCAACTGCCTTTCGTCTGCGCTGTCGGGTCGACGGTCTATAAAGTTCAGGGAGAAACGCTCACCTCCATGGTCGTCATGGATTGGAAGTCGACACAGCGAGTTGTGAACAAACCACAACAATCATACCTGCTTGTTTCCCGAATAACATCCAGATACGCATTTGTTGCGTTGACTCCGTTTACCCACGAGCTTGCAGCGTCGTCCAAGCCACCTGTACGCGCACTCAATGAAGAAGAGCGGCTGATTCGTCTCAGTAACATCACCCTAGCGTCATTTCAATCACCATCGGTTCTTCACTCAAACTCCACCGCCATGGAAGGTATTCAATCATCACCACCTCTTCTCCACCCACGACTCCACCGCCATGGAAGACATTCGTTAGTTTGTGTTGTTTGGTCTAAACAAAATTCAGGGAGAAACGCTCAGGTCAATGTTCGTCATGCATCTGAGCGCAAGAAGACCGAGAGAATCGTAACTTTCCTCTTTATTCAAATTCTCGTCATCGATCGCTTTGTTAGTAAACACACTAGCGACACATCGCAACGAATCCGCCGTAATGACACCACCAGACTCACTCACACCCACAGTAAGAGGCATCCGCAACATCCCGAAGATTCTTTCCAAGTAGCAGCGCCAACTCTTGTGCCAATCTGTTCTTCAATCATCACCACTTCTTCTCCACTCAGACTCCACTAGCGACAGCTGACACTGCGTCAAGTCCATACCCGCTCGAGTATTCCACTGCATCCCGAAGCTTCTTTCCAACTAGCAGCGCCAATTCTTGCTATAATCTGTTGTTTCCGTCCTCTTCCACGTGTTTATCTCTCCAGCAAAGCGCTTTCCAGTAGTACCATGGAGGGTATTCAATCATCACCACCTCCTCTCCACCCAGGCTCATCGTGTTCTTCTCTCCAGCAAAGCGCTTTCCAGTAGTGCCATGCAATCATCACCACCTCTTCTCCACCCAGACTCCACTGCCACTGCCATGGAAGACGTTCGTTACTTGGTGCTGTATGTGCGACGAATGTTACTTGATCGTTATGTGTGACGAAGGTTGAGAGATGACAAACTCCCTCGTACCCCACCAACACAGTTCTCACTAATGTTCGAACTGCGAACAGAACTACTAGTATTTATTCAAAAGATTCGCACTAAACAGCTTAAGCATTTTGTCGTTAAAAAGTTGGTTCTTTTTCTTGTATTTTTTCGCCTGCCTCGTCACATTGGTGCCAGGCAAGCTGCGTGTGTGTCTGCGCAGCCCTCTCTCCACCTTATTTTCTAACCTGAGGGGTCTACCGCGTCACTGCGCTGCATTCACACTCGACGCTTTCCTGTCCTGTCCATTCAATTCCCAAGGTCACTTCAACATTGCCGGTATGCTAGAGCTGATGTATGTACCTCACTCTTGAGTGATCGTCTGATTGGTCCTTTTTACTGCAGCTTGCTCGCAACGGCGTCCACGTGAGGAACAGCAGATAGCTTACCGATGACAGCCACCGAAGGAGTAGCCTTCAGTGCCTTCTGAGCCAGCTCCTGCAGTTTCTCAGCGGTCACACCCTCAACGAGCTCCGACGGCGACTTGGACACGACGCCCGTGGTGGCGATAAGGCCCACGCGGCTCAGAGTACCCGCCTGGGTGCTGTACTGCTCAAGAGCCTCAAATGCGGCCGTGGTCTTGGCAGCAGCCAGCTCCTCCTTCGTAGCCGGGGCCGAGGCGGCCTTCTTGAGCTCCGTGGCGAACGAGTCGACCAGAGCACCAGCCTCCGAGGGAGCGGCGTAGCCGGACAGACCCACGAGGGCGGCGTCGCTGTAGCTCGAGAGGAAGGCCGACGCCTTCTTGTTGTTAAGTCGCACGTTGAGCAGAGCGCGCAGCACCTGCGACGCACCAAAGTCAGCGGAATCACGTCCAACAGTGGGCAGAGCCACAGCGACGTGCGTGAACTTGCCAGCCTTCTTGACGCGAGTCTCACCGCCCACGTACTTAGCCGCAGCGCTGGCGGCCTTGGAGCCCTTAGCGATCGAGCCGAAGTACTCGTTGGCCAGGTCAGTCAGCGTGTTGTGGGCCACACCAGCACCAACAAGAGCGGCGTTGGACGCGTTCACGTACTTGTCGTAGTAGGCCCAGAGTGCCTCAGGGCTGAGACCGCCGAGGTTCTCGGCAGCGACGAGCGAACGGCCCAGCGTCACGTCGTCGTAGAAAGCAGCAGCGTGCACACCCTCGAGCAGTGAGGCCGAAGCGTCCGCGCTGATCTTCTCGAATTCAGCCTGCACCACCTTCTTCTGGTCGTCGACATCGTAGAGCGCAAACTTGGGGGCCAACGTAGTCTCAGCCAGGATCTCGGCGGCCGCCTCCAGTTGGTCGGGCAACACGCTGACGCTGTAGCGCACAAAGTCGCGACCGGCCTGAGCATTCACCACGCCGCCAATGGCCTCAATATCACGGTACAGACGCAGATCTGAGCGGTTCTCGGTGGCGCGGAAGGCCATCTTGGCGAATAGCTGCGACAAACCCGCAGTCTCCTCGGTTTCATCACGCGCACCAGTGTTAAGCTGCACGCCAATAGTGGCCACCGAGGCGGCACGGTCATCCGAGCCCAGCTTAAGACCCGACAACGCCGTGGACACCGTGAGCTTAGCGGCAGTGGCGGCCTGCGGCTGCGACTTTGGCACCGACGGAAACTCCTCGTTCAAAGCCACGCTAGGCATGGCGCTAGCCTTAGTGAACAGCGAGCGCGACGCGCGTGCCGCGAGCTTGGAGGACGACGACGCAAGCATCTCGGCGATGTAGATACAATAGCAATAAGAAGGGCGTTTCTGTGCTTCTGGTAGTGAGGGCGTGTGCGGCTCTCACAGCCTCACAGTAGGCTGCGCAGGATTGGTAAAAATCAACGACAGTTTTGACGAATCCCCGACGAATCAAGACGTTATTGTCAATATTGGTGCCCGATTTGTAGGGAACAATTTTTAAAATTTAAAATAAAACGGACAGTGAGTTAGGAATTTTATGATCATGTAACGTCACACCTCCCCTCTATTCGTTCTCAGAGGTCTAGAGGTCCGCTCGATGCTGTTTTATGCACAGGCAGAGCGGACGAAGCACACATAAATGACACACTTGTCCGCTGGTGTACGTTAAGAGGACGATCGCGCATGTTCTTTCCGCAAAACCAGATTATCTCATTCAAACGATTACATCTCTTCAATACTTATGCGTGTTCAATTTCTCCATCGACTTAGTCAGCTTGTCCATCACTGGTCGGAATGCCTGGCTTGCCAATTGATGGGTGACGACTTACCGCAGCATCATGTAGAACCGATTCAACGAGGCGACTGGTCTCATCATAGATGGCTTCGGTTAGATCGTACTTGCGAAATAGAGTCAGCGCGGTGGCTTCAAGCGGCGAGAGCTTCATCGTCACGCGTCGAGCCAATTCGTCCAAGTGAGCAGTGCAGTACTTCTTGTTGGCTGGATTGAGTGGATTTCGGCAAGTTCTATCCTCGCTTTCAATCCAATGGGTGCATTTTCCCGCTCGTGTCTTCACTCGAGCCTTTCGCGCGCTCTTCTTGGACGTGCTCTTCTTGACTCGCTGCTGATTCTTGCGTGTGGGCGCCATGATCAGTGCATGAATGAGAAAATCGTGCTTGATTCCGCAGACTGCGGACCAGGATCAGATTTCTTGTGGTGTGGTCCTCTGGAGCGCTCCAGCCAGATGCCTCTTAACAAATATGATAACCTCTTCAAAACGATGATGCAATCAACGTCATTGGTATCACAATCAATAGAAACAGCGTTTTCTGATACTGAGGAACACCTATTTGTGGCATCCCTCTGAAACTTTATGTGTTGGCTCATGCGTCACAAGGAAACGACACAATAAATAAAGCACCCTGTTTAATGGCCAAATCGTTAAGAACCACCCTAGAATACGAACCAACCACTTCTGATTCTAAGCAATTAATATCAGTATATACCGACCAAACACAAAATACCGGTATGGCATCAGCGATGTTGCTCTATTGATATCGACACCGAGACGATTCGGTGTTAAAATCGTTATGGCCCCGGTAAAAATCAATCATTAAATCTATAAGAAACATCAATGAGTCAATCTATAAGAAACATCAACAAAACAGTGTTCAAACGATCAATCTATAAGAAACATCGAGCAAATGCCGCGATGTTGCTATATTGATTTCGATGATAGACATCAAAATCGTTATGGCCCTAGTAGAATTCATTGTCCCTGCTTGGACCTGGATGTTGCTGGGACAAAAGGTTTATTAATTATGCAGGTTAGAGATCTTCTCGTTAGTCTTATAGTACTTTTATATTCTTTGGACCTATGACCCTACAAAGTTATACTTGTCTAAAGAGATATCTCAGTCAATGATCTATCATCTGTTGAAACACTTGGATAAAAGGTGTTTGTGGATGTTAAGGGAAATGAGGCAGTGATTATTATTCATGAGGGCTTAAGTCCTAGGAGAGAGAGTCCACTGTCATCTATCCATTCTAGTAACCTCACTCTCTCAGAAGCCGAAGCACATCCATCTAAACGTGTTCAAACTGGATGTTCCAACACGTCCCCTCCAGTGCTGGACGCGTGCTGATTGGGTGCGACGCCTAGTAAGTCCCTTAGTTCCTGAAACCTTGTTGTTGGTAGTGCTTTAGTGAATGCGTCTGCCAGCATGACCGTCGTTGAGCAGTATGTTAGTTCGAGTTCCCCGTTTTCTACAGCTTCTCGAATTGAGAAGAACTTGCAGTCCACAGTCTTCTGTGCATCCGAGTTCTTTCCATTCGTGAGGCGTTTGATGGTTGATTTGTTGTCGATCATAGCAGTAATTTTCATGGCGTTGCTGATCTTCATGAGTCGCGCTACTAGACACATGGTCCATCGTGCTCCCTCCACGCCATCATCTGCGGCAATGTATTCGGCAATTGTCGATGATTTTGACACGATGCGCTGCCGTTTGGTCTGCCAGGAAACAGCGCAGCCAAACACTTGAACAACAGCCCCGGATATTGATCGCCGGCCTTGTTCATTGTTGGCCCAGTCAGCATCTGTGTAGACGCGCACATGGGTTTCTGTTCTCGCCTTGCGATAGACTAGTCCCATTGACTTAGTGGTTTCAACGTAGCGAAGTATGTTCTTTACTGCGATCCAATGTGCTCTGGAAGGGTCAGCAGCATGTGCGGCAACCGGATTGACTGCGTAGGATATGTCTGGTCGGGTTACGCGGGCGAGATATAGGAGGGCGCCAACAGCTTGTCTGTATGGAACGTCCCCTGCGGCCTCCTCGTCTTCGGCCCGCTTGTACAGAATTTTTCCTTGGTCCATCGGAGTCTTTCGAGGCCGGCAATTGTTCATCCCAAAGCGCTTCGTGACTTCGTCCGCGAACTTTGTCTGGTTGAGTGTCGTGATCCCGTTTTCGTGGTCGAATTGTAGTGAGATTCCAAGGAACCACCTTGCTTCACCAAGGTCTTTGACCCCGTACTTGTGTTGTATGGCGTCCATGAAGTCTTGCATCACATCTTCGCGTCGATAGCCTACGAGAATGTCGTCAACATAGATTAGTACTACGAGAACATGTTCCGGGTGGGTGTACACGCATCGGTCTTCTTTGGTTGGAACCAGGCCGTACTGCAAGAGGAAAGCGTTTAATTCTGCATTCCATTCTCTCCCGGCTTGTTTTAAGCCGTATAAAGCCTTCTTGAGCCGCCAGACCTTTGTGCGACTGCCCTCCTCGAATCCGCGCGGCTGTCGTACATGTATGACTTCCTTTAGCCTCGCCTTCACATAAGCTGTGGGTACATCGCCCTGCCGCACACGCAACCGAAGTTGGGTGGCTATCGCTAAGAAGATGCGGATCGAGTTCAATCGGGCCACGGGCGCGTACGTCTCAAAGTAGTCTTTTAAAAACTCCTGTGTGAACCCCTGCGCGCAAATCTGTGCTTTCAGGCGCTCTATTGAGCCATCTTCTTTTTCTTTGACTCGGAAGGCGATCATTGAGCCAATTATGTTCACTCCAGGAGGAGGATCAACGAGTTCAAATGTGTCATTTTCACGCAATGCTTCAATCTCAGCTTGTATTGCTTTTTCCCATTTGGGCCAGTGCTGAGATGCACGTGCTTCTCTCAGGTTCAATGGTGCCTGAATAATCTCATCGAGTGTCGCTCCTGCAGCGCTCAATGCACGTCCCGCTATGCGCGCGGATCGACGGGGAGTACCCACGCCTCCAGTGGTGCGGGGTGATCTGCGAAGGACGACAAGATTTGCGCTCGAGGTCCGACGTGGCTGGCGTGGGTGCAGTGCTAGCCCGCCTCGTTTCATGGATCTCCTGGTGCTACTCGGAGCAGGTTTAGTTTCTGGATTGCTGTCACTGTAATCAGTGCCATCGTCGTCCCCTTCATCTGCACTCATGTTGTCACTGTCACTTACGGGCTCGGTAACTTCTGCCATTGGGTCATCGTCACTGCTCAATTTCTTTTGTGAATGGGTCGGCGGCCCGAGGAGAACAACACTTCGGCTGTGAACGACGTGATGACCACGACCAGTTACGTAGACGAAGTAACCTTTCCGCTGAGGATCACTACCCAGAAAAACACCGGTTTGGCCTTTTGGTCTGAACTTGTACGCAGTGGAACGCTTCCCGTCCGGAATGAGAACGACACATTGTTGTCCAAACGTTCGCACGTGCTTCAGGTCCGGTCGGCGTCCCCAAAATCTCTCAAAAGGTGTTTGAATCGGATTAGCTTTGCTCAGTACTCGATTCAGTGAGAAAACCGTGTTGCGTACGGCGTATTCCCACAGATAGTGAGGTAACTCTGCTTGCAGTATGATAGCCCTGGCACTTTCTGTGATCGTGCGATGGGTCCTTTCAATCTTTCCGTTTTGGTGATGAGCGTCAGGTTCTGACATTTCGATCGTGATGCCTTCGTCTTCACATACTTGCTGAAAAGGAGCTCCAATAAATTCCCCTCCGTTGTCGGACCGGAAAATCGCAATGTTCTTCTTTTTCAAGAACCTGCGATTCACCACATTCAAGTATGCTCGAAAGGATGACGCGGCCTCGCTTTTGTGCTTTAGGAAATAAACCGTTGTGTGTCCCATCCATTTCAGCGCAAAATAGTAGCGGTTCCCGTTGTAACTTCGCCTAAAGGGCCCAGCGAGATCACCATGACAAATTTCATCCTGTGCCTCCTTCGATCGGGTTGCTGATAAAGGCGCTGTCGCGTGGTGAATTTTGCTCAGAGCACAGATTTCACATGGTTTCCGTGGGGTAGTCGGGCCGACGATCCTCAGTCCTCTCACAGCATCAGATTTTTCCAGTTGAGCTATAGCGCGGTAGTTCAGGTGGTTTAATCGTTGATGCCAATCCTCAATAGAGTTTGGCTGCAGCGCGACGGCTGCTAGTCGTGGTGGAAGCTTTAGAGTGTATACTCCACGGCTCACCACTCCCTGCATTAGAGGTGGGCCATACACATTGCACCCGGATGTGGTAAATTCCACTTTCATACCATCATCTATTAGTCGCTTCACGGATATCAGCGTCTGGCTAAACCCAGGGGCGTACACGACATCGCTCAGGAGGACATCGTTCATCTCGTCAATCATCATTTTTTCCTTTTGGTTTCCAGTGACTAATCGACCATCGGCAATCTCCACTGCATGTACTTCACACTCCTCTAAGTCAAAAAGTATTGACAGGTTTCCAGTGATATGATACGTCGATGCTGAGTCAATGAGCGGGGCACCGCGTTGAATACCGGGGCCAAGTTGTGGGTCTCGGTGTTCTGGACGCGGGTCCCGCGGTCTTCATTCAGATATGTCCTGGTCTTCGTGCTGGCGGTAGTCGCCCTTGTCGTCTTTCCGTTCATCTTCATCTCCATTTCTAGTTAGCTTTGCTGCGTGCGCCAACCCTCGATGTTGGGACACGGGCTTGTTGTGGTAACCGGTCGTGTGGCCAAGTTCCCCGCATTCATCACAGCGTGCTTTGGAATAATCGCGAGGCTCGCGACGCGCTCGTTTCTGTTCCCGTAGTCTGGGCTCCTTCTTGATAACGTCACCAGGCTCGCTTCTTTTGCGTTGCACCCCCCGATTGTCTTGGTGGTGCTGCCTTCGGTTTTGATTCAATCCCGTGGTGCTTGTTCCTGCACCAGAAATGGGCCGGATGGCTGCTGCCCCATGACTCCTCGAGATGGTACAAAGCTTAGCAATAGCGTGGTTCATCTCCGTGAGAGGTTCAGGATTGTCTTCGTTAATGACGAGTCGTAGTGAGTCGGCTTGTCTGGGCCATGCGTTCGAGATGAAGGCGCTCAGCGCAAAGTTATTTGACTCGACCGTTTCCAAACCATCTGCGGTAGTTGATGCCGCCATTGACCTTAGACGCAGGGAAAACTCGTGGTAGGTCTCTGAGTATCGTTTGCGTTCACTCGCGACCTTGATAAGGACCTCCTGCTTTGGTAACTTAGATCCAAACTCTGTCTTGAGACGACGACCAGTTTCAGCAAATGAGCCTCTTCGGAGGTCTACAATGTTTGCGATGTACCATTGACTTGCCGTTCCTTTCAGCTGCTTGAAAAAGAGAGCGTTTTTGATGTTATCCGGAAGTT